CTGTTTTTACCTCCCAGCTAAGCGATGACGAGTGCCTGCGTGTGCCAACACCACTAATGACTCAAAACTCATGTAGTGCTATTAACACAATCATTCAATACTCTATTATGCCCAGAATGGAAGTGAAGCAGACCACACATCCCTGGATTCAAACATGTGTATTGGCAACAACATCATCTCATCATTAGTGGTGACCAGAAATGATGCCAGTGACTGTGTGTCTCCAGCCTTGAACACAATGGTTTAAGAGCCTCACTAACACAGAGGACATCCTCCCCATATGGCTGAAAGAGCCTGGCTCCACTACTAATCTGCTCCCACTGTTTATAAAATAAACAGTCCCCTGAATGCGAACCTACAGCCTGCCCAGACCCCCCCACTCTTGCAGCCTCTACTCTGCATCTGGCTGACCTCTGACCTGCTCTGTTTGAACTGTGCATCCTGTCCAGTGCAATGCGAATACAGCATCATGGCAAAATCTGCACAGTAGGCATTTTTCATTCACTGGAGGAGGGGGGTTTACCAACACATCGTCGTGGAGGTGGCACATGTGGCAGCCGCCATCCCACATGTGAGCACACAAAGGGTTATAGCCTAAAACCGTGTCTATGAATCATATAAAGGCTTTGTAGTTAATGAAAAAAGAAAGATTCGACACCTTCTAATTACAAAATGTGTGCCACTTAAAGGCAATAGCATTACTTTTTCAAAACAAAGCTGTTCACGCAGACACCCCCACCCTCCTCTCTGGGAGCCCCGAGCCTGCTAGGCCCACTGGAGGTGGAATGAGACGAGATAAGCCCATGGTCGGCCTCCATCAACACATGAGGCTTTCCAAAGCGAGTAGAGTTACAGACAGGCCCTCCTCTGGGGCTCAGTGGGAGTGGAAGCGGGTTGGGACGGGGCTGCTCAGACACCGATAGGCTGGTAATCTGCCCCCAGCCGGCCTGCTGATGCCCACCATCTGTGTCTGTAACTCATCACCCACCGGCCAGGAGCCTCCGCAGGCACCCACATGAGTAAACAAACACCCAGAGAGGCATTTAACAGCTGATTCTCTACCTGGCTCTGTTAATTACTGATTATCAGTGCCACCCAAAAAGTACGGGGACAGGAGCCAGCAGAGAGGGGTAAGAGGGGATAAGAAGGAGCCAGCTGTGAATATGGGGCCCATTAGCTTCAGGTTGTTTCAGTGTCCTCATTACGTAGGGAATTTGTGTCAGACAAAACAGAAAAATAGCTCAATCAGGACACAAGGATGTGAAGAGAAAAAACCCTATTGTGACAGATTTAATTACCACCAGCAGGGAATGAAGACAGAGTCAAGTCAACAGACTCCAGGAGTGTCAGGAAAAATGTGGCTGCTGGTTATGCTTCATTTACTTGACAGATCCTCACAGTCATAATTGTGCATGCCTCTGGCACTACTGAGCCAGGGGATGCAGAGGGTTAAGAGGTCAGGAGGATGGTTGGGTGGATGGGTGGGGGGGCAACTGATGAAGATTAAATGAAACGCCTGAAACTCCTCGAGGAGTATGGCAGCCACACAGGTGTGCTGCACTTACCCCCATGTAACCCCCACACACCCATCGTTCGGAGCTAAAATGTCCTGTGGGCGTAGCAGCCAGCAGGTGATTAGCAGATACAATTACTATGCCTCACTTAGCTTTTTGCCATTCACCGACATGTTTGAATCTCACCTGACAGAGACAGGCTGGTTGCTCAATGTGATTTGAAGGCTGAATTCAATGACTAACTGCTTTAAAATCCTTACAGTGAGTTGGTGTTATTAAATTGGTAGGGTTTATGTTTTTCTTTTTGCATATGGGAGGGTTGTTTACACTTTATAGGCAGGGAAGGATCTATAACTTTTCACCGCCTCACAGTTGTATCTAATTTATTGTCCCTTCATGTATTCAACTTAAAATCAAAGTTGAGAATTTTTCTCAAATTCAAGTGGACTGTCTAAACTATGAGGGTCTTGTTTTTAAGGAAAGTCAAGCCCCCCTCCACCCCTCCCCACCTCAGTCATTTAAAAACAGTCCCTAATGCAGTGCAGTGCATCCACTGGGAGTAGCTGGAATGAGAACGGTGATGACATTTAAAGTACTTTGCTAAATGCACCCATGAGAGCTTTTGGTGTTTTTCTATGTTAAATTTACCATCTAAGTATTATCCATATCTGTAGCCATTTGCAGACCCTAAATGGAAGCAAAATCATACAATGGAAACAGCATAGGTGCCAAAACTACATTTCCAATGCAGACAGACTCTTGTGCTTCACATGATAGTTGAGCCTGCAGGCACAGTTCCAGACTTAAAACATTAACAGGCATTTATAACATTATTCAACATCAGTCTCTGTTGAGGATTGTCCAAAATAGCTCATAGGAGCCAAAGGATGGAAAATATTTACAAAACTATGTCTGGAAAATGAACTGTTATGCTTCCATCTATAAGAAACCTGCAGGGCCAGGGACCAGACTGCAGTATTCACAATATCTGCTCTGCACTGCAGGAATAAAGGGCAGGTAGAGATAATTTGTCCGAGGGGTCTGGATTTGGAAAGGAACACAGTCATTCATGCTAAGAGAGGAAGATAAAAGTGAGGGATTTTCCTTTGGCAGATGAACGCAGGATGTTCACACAGAAAGAACAACACAGGGATGATTCAATTATCCACCCTGGTCCTTGTACAGGGATCCATCCCCTTTATGCCTCCTGCACAGAGACTAATGTTTTCCCGTGGTGCAATAAATAACTTTTTATTCCCACTGCCGTGGAAAGTTCACCTGCACAGACGATCTCAGTGTCTGCCCTCATATTTGTTACTGCAGCCTTTTAATTTGACCTGAGCCAACCTGTCATGCTCCATCAAACGTGGGAATCGGATACCTCAGGAACACAGGCGCCTTTGCTTTGCATTATGCCCCACCACCACCACCACCTCTCTGTGCCTTAACACATTGAGCCTGGGAGCAGAGAGAAAGTCACCCGCATCACATGAATCAAGCACTGTGACAGGGGTCCGTTGGGTCGGGGATCACACGGAGGATCACAAGTCTCTCTTTTTACTGCTCCCTCTCCCATCTCTATTAGCTGGGGATGAGAGCGGCGGGATGGCTCTCCAAAGGCATATATTTCCGTTGATGAAGAGATAAATCAGATCATTTCTGGAGTAAGGAAGGGAGCACAGAGAGAGCCTTCTTGGTCATCCTCCTTTGAGATGTAAATGGCACGGTGGCACTGAAAGAGGGCCAGGTGTCCGATGCAAAGAGGGAAAGCGTGACGGTGCATGCATTCCTCAGGGACCTAGACCATTAACTGTTGCCGTGCCTCATGCAGGCAAACATCAGCAGATCCCATAATGGCCCATAATGGCCTCGGAGGATTGACACAATGAGTGAGTATGGCTCTTATCTACTCTCTTACATGTAAGATATTAGCCATGTCTTCATACACCTGCAGTGGCCATGACAAAATAAAAACACATCAAACAATTATTAAGACAGCAACAATTTCCAATTTACATCCAGCTTGCTGCCTTCTGTTTATCTCGACACTGAACTCGTTATGACCAGAGGTCAACAGCTGCAGCTCACACCTTGCTGGACGATTAGAAATGAGTTAGCAGGCTTACTGGGGTCATCAAGGCAGCAATTTGCAATGAACTCTTTTAAGCCCGAGGCAACAACTTCAAATATCCCACACCTCAAGGTGGAGAAAAGAGGCATTTGGCAGTTCAAACAGTGAATTAAGAAAAGAATAGCAACCTGTCATTAGTCTTAACGAGGAGAGGGAGCAGGAATGACCTCTTCAAGGGGGGAAGTCGTTCAAGCTGAAGATATAGCCTTAAAGGATAAAGGTCAAATATGCTGTAGATGCACTCCAACCGTGGCTTCATGCTCAGACAGATAGACACCAGACCACAGACTCCCAATTTGATAAGATTTTGTACCATGAAGTCCTATCTGACATGATAAAGTTGACATAGTGCAGAGTGACATTGTTATGGGAACACAAATTTATCATTGCAGTGTCTAAAGTCTGCAGTTATGCTATCAGTAATAAAATGTACTAATCTTAAGTGTTTAAAAGTCCACTTCTAAATCCTTTGAAACCTACAATGGGAACAACCACTTTAGCACACCATCCCAAACTCTTTAAAATGAACATTTGGACATCTAGTCCCTCTGAAATATGCTTATTCACTTTTTTTGTTTGTTGTTGCTACGTCATATGAGAAGATTGTAAGTAATTTGCTTGATCCAGTGGTTAGCTAGCTTACCCTACTACAAATACTGGAAACAATGGAAAATAGCTAGCCTAACTCAGTCTAAAGCTACCAAAAAACACCTAAGGGCAAGCCTGACGCGTCCGAATTAAACAAAATAATAGTCCTGAACACACCCACAGTTTTTGTACAAACAACAAGCAAGACATAGCATGTTATCAAGATTAGCATTCTCAGCTAAGCTAACTGGCTACTGGCTTCAGGTACATATGTGAGCGCGGTATCCATCTTCTCATAAAACAAAGTCAAAGTCAGGAAATATGTTTGTATTTGTGTGGATACAAGAATTTAAACTAGCAAACTAACAGAACAAATAAAATTTATTGAAATATACATATCTGCTTTATTGCCAAGTCGTATGAGAAACTGATAGCACTGCGCCCGTGCCTATATGCTATATATGTAGCTTAATCCAATTGCTGTTTAGCTTAGCGTGCAATAAATGGTGGGTAATGGCGACACAGATTGCTTGACTCAACCTAAAGGTGACAAAATACATCTGCCAACATCCGTAAAGCTCAAATATTAAAGCAAAGAAGTAGTCCTTCACACAACCCAGTTTTTTTGTAGACAACAAATTAAATATAATGCGTTTACTAAACTAGCATCCTAAGCTAAGCTGACTCGCTTCTGTTACATACTTAGTATAAGTTGTATCAATCCTTTCATCAAACTCTTGAAAAGCCTACAAATAAACAGATTTGCGTTGTTGTAAGAATTTATTTCAAGAAACTTAACAACAAATTAAATTTATGGAAAATATTTAATTGATATAAGGTATCAATCACCCAGAAAAACTAATTCAGCAGCCTTGACTTATGTTGGTGGGTAGATTTACCCATAAATATTGGACCTAAAAAACAAAACAAAAACAAAAATGTTAATGGGTTAAATGTCTTGGAAAATTTTATTCATAAGTATAGAGCTGTCACATCACTCTTAATTGTGGTATGTTGAAAAATTTAACAAAGAAAAGGCAGTTAATGTAACAGTTGGTTCAGGGTACATGTGCTGAAATATTCTTAAAATTATACAGTAATGAAGACATCTTGGGGCCCACAAGGACATTTGTTACAACACCGTTTCATTTCAAAGGGATGACTCTGGTGCTCTATCTGCTGGGGAACAAGCTACATTGCATCCAAACAGGTCGAAACAACCACATGATTACGACAATCAGATGGCAATCAAACACAGAAATGTTGTAAGTTGGCTTAAAACAAAATTTTATTTGTAACATTAAAACTGAAGCCCCCTGGTTGTCAAAACATCTCTTTTGTAACTCTAGTGTAAAAGGTAAAACAATACCAATCTGTCTTTAGAGCAAGAACACACATTTTTAGTGGCATAAGTTACCCCCAAATTCCAAATTAGCAAACTTTTTTTTTTCTTCTAGTGTTACAAATGCTGACCTAAAATATGCTGTCTGAAACTGGAAGTGATTTAGAGATGCCTGCAGCTTCTGTAACTGCTCAATAAAATATAGCATTATACATTGAAAAATAAATTTCATTACAAAACAAATTGTTATTTTTACATGTCATATCTACACAAAGAGCATTAAATTAAAATATAACAGAAGCGAAATGTGAGGTGTGTAATACAAGCAACTAAAAAAACCAAAAACAACTGCATACAGGTGAGTGCTTGTGAAATGTCATCCTTTAAACCCCATGTCTGTATATAACGGACCTACACATGCATTTTTAGCAGAGATTTGTTTATGTTAATTATACACACGAGCACATTTCATACGTGTGCGCATACGCTGTCAAAACTCCCTTTACCATTGTGGTGAAAGTTAATAAAAAACTGGACTGTCACAAAAAAAAGATTGTCTGGTTTTACAAAAAAGCCTCAACCCCTGTAACTCCCCATATTTCCCAAAGAAATGAGGCAGGCTCTCAGAGGAAAAATGCTACAAATATCCCAGTAAATCTTGAAATCCCGCGATCTGTCTTGACCGTACACACGGAATAAGTCTCGTCACAGGTAGCGGTCGTAGATCGTCTCAGAGCGACAGTCTTGATTTGCTTTGGAAGTTCTAGCAAAATATCTACACATATAAAAGAAAACAGACCCAGCGTCTCACTGGCTCCAAATGGACTTCAAGCAGTGCCAAGAGGAAGGTCAGCACCATTAGGTGATTAGCAATCACTCATTGTCCAAGAGTTGACAGGAAACCCATTCACAAATATGAACATTATGTAGATTTGTATTTGGCAAGAGACAGCTTTTAAAGTAATTAGCTTTTAGGAAGGCAGGAATGTGTCATACAGTGAGGAATGTCCAGTGTGCTCCTCTCTGCCGCCCAAGTAACATGAATTACTGCTGCTCTAAAGAGGCTGGAAGTGCCTGGCACAGTGAGAAACGTGGTTTATGCAGAGTTGAACCAGATCAATTGGACTGACTCTGAAAATAGTGACTGCTTGTGCACTAGCGGGGCATGCACAATCAACAAATCCAGGTTCAAGTTGATCTCTAAATAAATAGTGCTTGTAGAAAAAGACTTGAACACAATGCAGGGCGGCATAATTGCATAACTTCAAGATGATTCAAAATTAGGATTATAAAATATGATGCAGCTGTTTCCTGAATAGAAAAAAAATAAGATAAATCTCAGAATAATGCCTCCCAAACTTAGTCCGCTTGCTACGGTCAGACTTACTAACAGGAATGCTATAGGAGTCACAGCTAGAACCTGTGAGAGGTTGCCCTCTAGTGAACAAAACCCATACTGAACTATAATGGCTCCACATGTTGAGCTGCATAGAGTTTCTAACAGGAGTTGACATCCTTTCCTGCACTGTATTACTAATGAAGTCAATAGTGTTGGGTTTGAATGAAAACATATATAAAACCGCATAAGCTGTGGCACCTCAATATTCTTTAAGTCCCAAATAAACCTTCTGAAGAAAAAAGCTTGCTCCCAATAACTCAGCAACTTGTCTCCCTGGTGAACAGAATACTAAGACTTATGGTTTGAGTAAGAGCATCAAACATTTAGAGGAGGCAACATCTGCTTTGTGTTGACAAATGGCAAAAGCAACAAAGCAGTTTTACACTTAGCAATGATGCTTTAGTGTATGCTAACAATATCATAGGCAAAATGGTGTCTAAATGAATACAAAATAGTCCAATACAACAACAATAGTGATGCTGGCCAGTCGGAGACTTTGGCAAGGCTGGCTAGTTGTTGACTGGAGGTGCTGGTGCTTTGTTCACACACCCACAAACGCACACACACATACATACTGACTGCTATAGAGCTACAGGTATGTGTCCTGCTCTGTGCTGCTAAGGCTTTGTGTGGATCGCTGAAGAGTAGATTCTTTGGCAGGGGGAAGGTCTGTAGGAGGCTCTTTCTGCTGGTGAGGTGAGTCTGTTTCAGTTTGTGGCACAGGCTCCTGCATTGAGCTGCTGCTGTCTGGAGGTGGAGCAGGTGGATCTGAGGGTGGCGGGTCATTAGGAAGAGGGTAAGGATTAGGGATTTCCACGGCCGGCTGCGATTTCTTCACGCTGTTCTTCTTCTTCTTCTTGCTCTGCTTTTCCTCCTTGCCCTTGCCCTTCAGCTGCGAGGCTGGCTGAGATGCCTCAAGTACAATAGTGGGGTTCTGCTGCAGGTCCTGGCGCCTGGGTGGCTCAGCGAGCATGATGAGCTGAGCACCGTGCATCCTCGGAGGCGGTTTGAAATTCAGCTCTCCGCGGTTCTTCTTCCAGCGCTTGAGCTGGCTGTGATGCACTCTTTCCACGTCTCGTGCCGTCACCGGCACCTCAAGGATCTACAACAGGAAAAGATGTGTCACCAGGTCACAGCTGGACTCATACAGAGCATTATCAAAGGAATAGCCTATACTGGAAAATATGTTCCTTCCATGTTTGACCATTGTGCTAAAAATGTTAACTTTGTTAGTAAATGCCAAAGGGCTTTAGGCTGCTGTGGATGCACCGTCACCCACGATCCAGACAGCCCTTCATATGAGAGGGGGTATTGTTAGAGTAGACTGAGACTCACACAAAGCTTGATACAAGAACCAGACACTGGGCAGCCAGCACTCTGCTCAATTTGTCTGTGTTTTACTTTAAGTCACTCTATCAGACTCTCTGCTCTCCTCTTGGGATACAGCTATGAACACTTATTGCTCTCTCCAACTCCACATCCACAACACTCTCTACATCATTGCAAGATTATGTCAATGTAGTATGACTTCTTGTCATTAACACAGACTGATGTCATTAGAAAACTTTGTTTTTGTACATTGCAGCCAGCCATATACAATTCTATTTCTGTTCAAAAAGTACTGAAAAACAAACTACTGGATGCTAGATGGACTAGTTCTGTCAGGACAGACTATGCAGGGAGACATAAGGCTAAATGTTTTCTAAAATCCCCCAATAAAGTACAAAACAGGTGTCTTCTCGACACATTTTCTTACTAATTGACAACACTAACTGAATGAACCATAAAATCTTATTTTCGTACGTTTAGCTTGATTACAGAAATCAATCGCCACCTGCTCAAGTGTGACATTGTGATGGGAAGCATGTAATTGAATTTCCTTTCTGGGATAAATAAAGTATTTTTCATTTCATTTCATTTCATTTGGGCTGTGGTTACCCCAAGAAAAAGTAAAAGTAAAGGAAAATGTAAAGAAAATTAAACTCATATCAGATGTATTAAGCACCTTTATCCATTTGGCTCACTGCTATTTTGATAAAAAGGTTAAGTTTTAGTATATAGTCATCAAATTCAATTCTATCCCTTAATTGCAGATATACTGGCTGTAGAACAAAGGCCACAAACAACAATGTGACAGTTAGTACTTTGCTTAAGAAAAATTGAGCAGATTGGATATTTATCAACGTGTGACCAAGAGTTAACAGTAAAAATGGACGCATCTCTATTCAGCACACCACGCAGCTGCTCTCCTGCTCTTACCTCTCGGACGAGGAAGCCCTCCTGCATGTATCGAGGCTCTATGGCCCTGAGCAGCTCCATGGTCTCATACTGGCCCTGGCAGGCCTTCAGCTTCTCACGGGTCCCCAGCATGCACTTGAGAAGCACCAAACCCACACGAAAGATAATCTTCACTCCTGAAGCAGGGAGAAAAATTCTGTGGGTGAACTTGGGAGTGAAGATGTTTGAATGGATTGATTTTCCAGAACACCCAGGAAACATACATAACTATAAACTGCTTTTACCATCACAGAGGAACATGTCCCAGACACGCAGCACGGACGCCCAGGGCAGGGTCCTGGAGAAGGCACACATAAACCACTCAGTCATGTAGAGGATGGGGTCAATCTTGTGTTTCTCCAGATGCCTGAAGGCTAGCGGGGAGACGCGTCGCAGCAGAGCAAACAGGATCTCTCCATCTAACTGTATGGCTTCCTGAAAGAGATACAGGTAAAGCATTAACAGAGAAAATAAAAACCACTGTACTCTGCATTGTTTGGGCTGAAACCTAATACGCAAGCGGATGTTTATCCATTAAATTAAAGCAGTTCAAACGCATCATATTTCTGCAAATTGTTTCCCCACTGTGCATGATTAGCCTGTTTTAGTGACATCTTGTTTTGTAGCTCCACGTTATGTTTTTATGACAGAACATTTTATTAGAAAATCTTGTTCCCGTGTAAATCAAATTTATAATACAAAAGCAATAATGTTGAACAGTGACCAAGAGGCCAAATTAATTATCCAAAATTGTTTACTCATGTTGTTGGCCAAGGAAGTAAGCCAATGTTAAATCATAGTTTGACAAGACTGACAACACCCCACCGGTTTCATCAGAAAGCTCTAACCACAGAATCCCAGACACTGCCAGACACTCCGAGGGCAACAAAAACGCATTCCAGTGTTACTGTAATCACACTGAAAGCCCAGTTAGTGCAGATAATAGTCCTTGTAACAGAGGACTCAGATGAAGTTGTTGTGCAAATTTCCCTGCTCTGGCACGCCCTCAGGCAGTCTAAGCATGCTCATCAAATGAGAAAGGACGGTTACGTCACTCGATATGCGCACAGCACTAAACTGGCGTTCCTAACAAAATCTGAGTGAGTGTTTAGTGGTAAACAAGCAGACAGTAATAAGCTGTGCACGAATTAAACTGCGTCACCTTCTGTATTACTACAGTTTGTTTACAAATACATAAATTTTACGCTGGTTAAACAACAGTCTACAAATATGAGTCATTAATAACAGACTTTTGCAGTAGTCGCAGTGTTTTGTTACAACCTTCATCTCTAGTTTAATCGCAGCACTTACATTCGGTCCTCTACATAATTCCAAGTAGACTACCCAGTAATGTAAACTTTGATGTTAGTTGCGTGCTGCTTTAACGGCTCCTTTTGGCAATTAAACACAACACATGCGGTGGATTCCCTGTGTGATTGAGAGCACCCTCTTGTGGACAAAGGGAGGACTGCTGGTGAAACTGTGCAGCTTATAGTTTCCAGCAGAAATTGCTATTATTGTGCTACTTTGATGATTTTTTTCAGTCAGAGGAGTTTTCACTCATTACACTTATTTTTTTTTTGCTTATAAATCCCCAGATGAACAAAACTTTACAAACTGACAAAGGCCGCCTATTCACACTGGAAAGACAGTTAATATACATTGCTGACTGAACTCCTGGATTGCTGCAGTTTTTTTCCAGACAGAGGACTTGTGAACGCCAGCATCCCTACAAATATTTTTCAGCATTATATTCTCTCTGCATTTCCAACACCTGCTGATGTCATGTGCATGCTGTCATGTGTTTCAGTCTCACCAGGCCAGGACTGTAGTAGCCAGGAAGATACTTCTCACAGATTTGGACCAGCCCCCAGAAAGCATCCTGTGGAAACAAATACAGATGATGGAAGGAAACTCACAGTTCATTTCACAAGGCATTTCTCTGTTCCCATGGAAGTCAGAAACTGTGGCAATTACAATAAACAAGCAAACAAAAAAAGAATGTAAAATACAGGTACGTATTTTAATTCTGAGATCATTTATCTGTCAATGTAGTTCGTTTGGATTTGAAACATGAATACAATGACGAGCCTTATGAGAAAAGTCACATATCAGAAGTGACAGATCAGCGGTTGACGCGTATAAACCCACATGACAGACGGGTATGCTAAACTGAATGAGTGGAATTCATGACCGCATCAGGAGAAAGTCTCTGACGACAGATTGAAATGCAATGATAACAACATAATGACTTCCTGTGTAAGTTTATAGGGCTCTGCTAGCTATACTATTGCGAGTGTTTACGAGTTCAGATACCTTAAACCCTTGTAAAGTCCCATTAGCTGCTATCATAATGTTCTAACAGTTCATGTATTATTCATTCCCTGGAATAGCTCTAGGGATTTATCTACAGATTACATCATCTGCACATTGTGTCTCTGTGCTGTACATCTTATAAATAGACTTATCCAAGGTCACAAATTAAAGCTGAACATCACAAAAACAAGAGAAACAGCACGTGAATTCTATTTTTATAGAGAATTCCAGTTTTAAAGACCAAAACAATAAGCTTGCGGAACAGCACGTGCACCCCAAACAGGTCAGTTTATATGATGTGTGAGGGCATGGTAGACAGAGAGCATGTCGTACCTCAGCAGGCATGTGCATAAGCAGCACAGCAGCAATGGGAGCCTGGGCCTGGCAGTATCCCTCCTCTGGTCTGTAGAGAGTGTAGGCCTTAAGAACACGGAACAGGTCCTGCTGCCTGCAGAGGGTCAAAACATAGACACACACAACATGTAGACAAATGAAATGTCAAACGAGACACGGTCATCAGTGTTTAATGTCAGAGAAAGTCGGACAGCTTACCCGTGTCCTCCCCGTGACACAAACATCTCATGAAATGGAAACTGTCGATGGAGGTCTTTCTCGATCACATCAATCCATTTGGGGTCCCCTGGCTGCTTATCCAGCTCCTGACAAAACACATGGAGGACATGTGAGATCTCAATTTTTATGTAGTAACAGAATTGAGGGTGATGTTCTTTTAGATGGAAAGAATTCAAGGTGGATATTTTACAAGAGTTAATGATGAAATGAAAACTTCTTGGTTTGAACGATTTTGTAAAATCTGTATTAAATTACACTAAAGAGTAGAATGAAAATCAAAGTTGTATTAAGAATTAAGTTTATTTTACATTGCAAAGTGACTGAACGAAATGTGAACTTGCTCCAAAACATCAGTGTTCTCAACCAAAGAGGTAGCACTGATGCATGAGCAGTTTCAGTCATGATTTCAGATGAAACTTAAAAGTGAAATGAGCCCAAAGTGCAGAATAAAAAGATCTAGAAGGAGGAAGCGAAAGAGGAAGATGCCTGACCTGAAACTTTCCTTGGTTCTGCTCTTTCTTCACCTTCCCCCCTGACAGGTAGAGCCACGCACGGCCTCGGAGGGCAGGAGGAATTCCTTTCTGGCATCGCAGCCTCACCTGAGCCACAGCAGAACAAGGATTCAACAAACACATCAAGGAAATAAGTGTAACGGTGGCTTAAAAACAAAAAACAAAAAACAAACAAACAAACAAACAAACAAATAAACAAAAAAAGGCATTATGTACTCTGGCATGTACAGTCAGTGCTTTAAAGTCATGGACCTGCTACTTGGTATTGGTTCCTTTTCTCGAACCCAAGTGTTAGTTAGTTATCTAGTTCAAAATGCTGGCTAACAGGACGTGTTGACATTTATCAGTGTATTAGCCTATAAGTTCTTGCATTCCACACAGTTTTTTAAACATTGTAAGTACAAGAGAATGGACTGAGAGATATTGCAATCTGACTTGAGATCTAATATTAAGTCAAGCTCCAGTTGATTATTCACTGTGGAATAATTTGAAACATGTGATAGAACACGAGATACTATGCAAAGCGTGACTGTCACACGAGGATGGTATGAAATTTGTTAAACCATTAACTTGACAGTTTAAACCTTGGATCAGACGTGCTGCACAACATACATGCTAAACTGCAGTGTTTGCAAATCACTAATTGCATTGTTTCAAATCGTAATTTCAATTCGACATCAATTACTTGTTCATCCCTGCTAAATGCTGCATCATTTAAATAAACAACATCCACAGTTACTCTAGAAAAGTACTTTTTTCTTTGCTCGTCACCGAATCTGGAACAGAAATTTAGTGACCTTTATGTGCCCAAACAGTACAGCATGTAGTTACAGTGTACAGAAGTATGCAACTTAAACACCACCTTGACAAAACTAAAATATGATTCAAGCGATGTCTCCAAGCAGACCAGCTATAATCTTTCATGAAGAGTCACAAGACACTGTTGACCCAACTGATTGGTTAACCTGAAATACACATGAGTGTTCCAAGATGTCACAGACAGTGATGCTGGTTTTACTTGCATTTCCATTTCTGGGCACTTTTGTTTTTTTCTAATATGAAGCTGGCTCACATCCCCAAGGAGAGAGCAGTTCTTACTGTACACCTACTATTAATCAAAAGAGCACAATACGGGATTAGAAACTCTGACCTTCACTGCACAACCTTAAAGCCTGGCTGCACTGACAACTGTTTGCTACTAAATCTGCTGTCATGAGGAAGAAAAACTGATGACATAACACCCATTTTGGCCTCTCCTCGCTGGCTACCACTGCAAACTAGAGCTGATTTTAAGGTCTTTTTAGTATAAGGCCTTGCACAGCCTTGCTTGTCTGAGCTATTTATACTACACACATCAACTCTCTCTACGTTGGTCTCCTGGTCATTCCATTAGTTAACAAAAAAATTGATTGGTTTGAAAGCATTTGCTGACGGTGTGCTTGTTCTCTGGAATGACCTTCCATTACATATAAAAAAAGGCACGCTCAGTTGAAGCCTTTAAATCAAGACAGAAACCTTCCATTGAACAGGCAATCTAGGTTACTGAGTTTGTAGTGTGGTTGCTTTAATTTTAGTTTGTATTTATTTGCTTGCCATTTTGTCCCTGAAGTGTATAGGATCTATTGCATGGCGATTTTGCACTTTAAAAAACACTGACTGACTGATAAATGGGGTGTTGTTCACTCTCAAAAGCTGTCTTGCACCGACGAACATCAACAGTTTACACTCATAGCACCTTCAATACACAGCTGTCTCACAGGAAGTCAATAGAACCCCGCCCTGAATCTGAGACTGTCAATTTGTCACATGGTACGTGGGGTGATAGAGCGATGGGTTGTGTCCAGGCTTGCTGCTGACTCATGGAAATGAGGTGAAGTCGCAGCGCTGTGCTGAATCGCTGAGAGCGTTTCACACAGAACCAGCTAGACAAGTGGAGCTGCAAACAATGCGTCCATAAAGTCTTGTCCTTGTGCAATCAAATACTTGAGCAATGCCCTTTACATTGTTTTATCATGTGCTTAAACCTACTCAGGAGTAGAAAGCTGCTTCCCGGAGGCAATGAGATAAAGTGAATGTGCCAGCTTCAGAAAGCCTTGAGAAAAACCAATTCAGATTAAGCAAACTCCGCATGCAAAGGCGTACAAACAAGCCACGTGACGTTTAGTGTTATTGAGTTAACAGTTGGCACTTACCTTATTAAATCTCTTGATCATCCACTTGTCCCAGTGGCTGAGCATGTCCAGCCACTTCACCTCTCTTTGCCTGAGCACCTCTGGAGGCACGTCCTGAGCTCTAAGGATACAACAGAGAAAACATGAGAAAGGTACATTTTGCACAAGAAATCACAATTAAACCTAATGAGACTAAACAACATAGGTAAATCCTTACTCAGTTCTGCAAAGGGAGCATGGACCAGATGAAAAAAGTTCTGAAATAAGCCTCCAAATGAGATAGGCAACAAAGACGGTTCAGGGTGGTGGTGGGCTCTTTTCTTTTACCAGTGCGCAACAAATACATCAACACATCCTCAGAAAGGCAGTTTATCTTTCTGCAAGCGCCATAAGATCCGTGTGTGTGGCCATCGCTCACTTGCAGTCAGTAAACTGTGCAATGATTCAAAAATAGTAACGACCAGACTTGTTTTGAATAGACTGTAAAAGAAAACCAACTCCGATGTAGCTCATTTAATGACAAAGCTTGTTTGACCTCATATAGCTGCAGTCAGGATTTGTCTGCTTTGTTACGTAATTTAACATCAAGATGCTTTCAGGCAAGGAAAACGAAGGAGTTCGCAGTATATTCTTAAACAGAAAATGTTGGCAATTCTAACCTACATTATGGATGAGGTCAGATGCTTTACTAAAGTATGTAATTATCTCATCGGCACAAGCCTGTAATTGCAGGGCTGCAGCGTCTTCAAAGAGATTGGTATTTTTATTTTGGGGCAACCCTCTTTCAGTTAGAGGTGTAGGCTATATGTTGCAGATCAGTGCAACAAGATGTTATACTTCAGCCTCCACAGCCCTTAGATAAGTTACTTTCATTGGCAAACAGTGGAAGTTAAAGCCTGAGGTTGTGACTATAAAACGGAGCCAAAAGAGGCCCTCTAGTAAAGAGGCACCAGAGCTGCGGCTCCAAGTCTGCCAAAACTCCAGAAAACAGGAAACTCCTAGCCAGCCGGTGCTTGGCACAACTTTCACCCACTCCTTCGCTATTTCAGTGCTGTCATTTAGGGTTTTGGCCCCCAGTAAAAGGCGAGGAAAGAAAAGCCTTAGAAAAAAAAAAAAACACTGTATCTTGTCTTAAAGGCCATGAATAAATTCATTCAAAAGCAGACAGTCAGAGCTGCTCTTTCAGCTTTCCACAAAAAAAAGTCTGTGGTAAATGATATCGAAAACAGAAAATGGCACAACATTACATGACACAATGCTTCTTGTTATGAGTTCATCTGCATGCTTTGGTATTTGCCATGCTGAGAGGCAAACCGTGGGCATAAATAACATTGTGCCACGCAGCTGGTTTGGAAGCTCTGTGTTGTTCACAGGGAGCCAGACAACAACACACCACCACAACTGGAGATGTGTAATCATAACCAGATTCACTGCTGCACTCTAACCCTGCTCTCAGCTTTGGCTAAAAGGGGACTATAAAATGTACCACCCGTATTTCAGTTAGAAAAAAAAAAACATCACAGTCGAGACCGACAGGAATGAATCAGTGGAAGAGTCGAAACAAACTTACGACGCCTCCGAGTACTGCTGTGCCCCGCCAATAAATCCATATTTATCGGTTTGTCTGTCGCTGGTGAAGCCGTTGATCTCTGAGTCGGATCCCAGAGAGCTTTCATCGTCGATGTGGCTGCTGCTGATGGTCCTGATACTCCTGGTGTCCACCGATTGACGGCCGTTCTCTATTTTGGCCATGGTAGCGAGAGAGCTAGCTGGCTAGCCAGGTTAGCTAATGTCAGCGAGCTTGTTGACAGCCCTGAGTCAAATCTGCTCCTCTGCATATGTTGTCGAATCAAACTGCATCGACGCCATGATTTCTCGAAGTGAGTTAAATTTTCCGACAACTACTCCGTCTGTAAATATTAACCAACACCGACGTTACGCTACAACTATCGGGACACATCAAACAGAGTGCACGTTAGCTCGTTAGATAGCTTAACTTTCTTCGATTTAACATTAGCAAGCTAATGGTAAGTTGCTAACGTAAAGTTAGCCTTAACTGTCCGTGCCAACACAAACCCAAAACTATTTTTCTGTTGACCCTACCTTAAATAAACTGACGCCACATTGTCATTTCGTTATTTTTTTTAAAGTTAGCCACTTACTAACTATAGCAGCTGGTTAGCAGACTGGTTTAATATGTCCTCAGTTAACAGTGGCTTAGTGCTGTCCTGTCATCCCGAGTGTGCTGGACAGATTTCTGCCTCGACCAGCAATCCTGCCTCCCTGTCCTAGGTTGGTTTTAATGTTAATAGCGACCTCTAGTGGCTGCTGTGGAAGTAGGAAGTGAATCCAGCACCACCATCACGGTCTCTGCTCGACCTGCTGTCTATAAACGCCTTCTTTTTGCTCTCTTGGTCATTTGTGTATCAGTGGCCTGCATTAGTCCATGTAACTTTGGCTAATACCATTATAATTAACCACTTACTAACTTTATAAATCATTGTCAAACAACAAAAGCAGATTCTGTTTTTCTTTTTTACATTTCTTTATTTAAATGAATAACCCTCATGGGGCTCTACATGTTCTTACAAGTTTCCATTTACTGTGTATCATCATTAACAAATCAAGAGTTGAACCAATAGTGTGAAAACATGCCTGCCACGAAGTTTATATTTTATTTAACATTTAACAACATACTATTCACACAAAACTGTATGAAAAATGCATTACAGTTACTTAAAATTACCATTTAAAGAAAATGACATGACATGACATGACATGACTTGAGTGACCAACACTTCCACTTTTTCTTTATGTGGCACGGCTCACTTCTTTCTTCCACCTCTCTCCTTCAGTGCCAGATGAATAATTGAGCCATTGCTCATGTTGTAGTAAGCCAGGGAATTGGAATCCTTGATGAAAATGCCCTAAAAAGGAACAAAAAACACAGTGTTTATTTTATTAGTCATTACATGAATGCAGATGAGATTAAATGTTCTAACAGGGATAAAAGGAAAGTTTACCTCATACTGTAACTTCTGTTTTCCTGCTGGCATGCCTGTAGCTTCATGGATTTTGACTTTAATAACAGACACCTGAGGAGACATTGCATTTGCACATTAATAAGCATACAGTGGGCATGCTTAGTTATGTTCCGTTAAACTGAGAGACACTCTACAATGACATTTGCATACCTGGTCTGTGAGGGGGACAGTGAAATTCAGCACTTGGCCATTCAGCTTCCATTCGGTCTTGTCCTGCATGTTGGGGACCTGTACTTTAACTGCCACCGGACCCTGGAGACACGAATAAATAAATATATTTTAGGATAAAAAGAGAGGAGGAAAAAAAAAAAAAAGAAAACAAGTCCGGACTCGAGTGTAGACAAGACAGAGCAATGTAGGATAAAAAGATGTGTTACAGGCCAATCAGTGATCTGGCCATTTTTATTACAACTACATGTCCATATATTACTAATTTACTAATAGAGGCCTAATATACAAATATTGATATTTACAAAGTATTAGTTTGTCTTTGTAGTTGATATATCAGATGATCTGTAAATGAATTTGGGAGTGATAGAAGGTTCAATTCTGTATTTGGGCATTTGTCTGCATGCAGGCTGTTCCTTAATATAGGGAATGAAACAGTAGAACTGTTTGTGCTATTCAAACGCAATGCAGCATATTTCAAATACATTACTGCTCCAACAAACCTTGTTTCTTCGAAGGAATTCCTCCTCTGGAATAAGGTTGTCCTCTGTCTTCATCTTCTTGCTGACTGGTTCATCCTCATGAGGTGGGGGTGGGTGCGAAGGTGGTGCTGGAGCAGAGCTTGGTGGTTGTGGTACTGGAGGAGCAGGGACAAAGGCTGGAAAAAGAAATAGGACATTGTAAATTTTAAATCACAAAAGGCTCTCTGAGAAAGATTCAGTTACCAAATTGACACGAGACAACTATTCATTTTTAGAATTTTTAGCATTTGTTTGTAATCCTTGATCTTACCAGCTGGAACAACCATGGGCGGTGGTCTGGGGGCCATGATGTGAGGTGCTGATGGCGGCATGGGAACCACGTTGATGCGGGGAGCAGGAATCATGGGAGGCATCTGTGTTATAACTTGGCCTGGTGCAAGGCGCACCACAGGAGCCACAGGCGGCCTTGGAATTACAGGGACAGCAGACAGCAGAGTGGTGCGCACTGGAGGTGCCACCTGTTGAACAACCACATTAGTGGATTATGAGTTACATATCCGTCATTAAAAATATTAAGAATACGTATGTATTTTTAAAGGTAACAACGTACAGCGGAGGGTGGGCGAGGCACAGCAGAGACAGGAGGACTAGGTTTAGGCAAACTGGCTGCAGAGGAGGGGATGGGGGGCTGGTGATGAATTTCACTTGGCTTGCTTGGACCAATTTTCTCCTTGGTGTCATCCTCTCCCACCAGTCCTTTGGCCTTGTGAATGGCTTCAATCTGCTCTTGTAGGGTGATGTTGGCCTGTGCCGCTTGCTGTGTACGAGCCATGCTTCCAGAGTGGCCATCCCAGGTAACCTGGTAGGGGCAGAAAAACACAAAAGTTATCAATACAAAATAAACTAAGTTTCATACAATCTTTGAGGATAATGACTGTTCAGACTCAACTTTATTCATCTCAGATCCTTTTAACCAAAGCTGTGTAGTACAAACCCACAAATGTTCTCACCTTCTCCTCTGGCTTCTGGATTTCTTCTTCACCAATCTTCTTACCGATGGCTGTCTCTTCCACACCAAAGATATCGGTACGCCTCTCAGCCAGTTGTTTCAAACTGCTCTCGATATCCAAACCAGGAGCATAGACTTCATCCTCTGTCTGTCTCTCTCGGATGCTGCGGTCTCTTTGTTCCAACCAGCGTGGATCCAGCAGACCGATACGCATGTGCTCCTGCATCTTACTTGCTGGAATCTTCTCACCAGTAATTGGTGAGATGAGATATTCATCTGGAGCTGCGATTGAAGGCTGAGGCTTGGAGGCTATGGGGAACATGTAGCATGAGATTAGCACACACTGTACACAGTAGTTGGTTGTTACTGACTTGGTATTCTCTCATCTATAGGAGCAACTTACCTTTGGGATCGTAGTCTTTGCGAATAATAACCTGGTCTGGAGTTGGGGGCAGTGGGGGTGGCATGGGGTTGTCTGGTGGCAGTGGAGCCTTCATGCCATCATCGTCATCATCAGATCCCTGAAGACAGTAGGAGGGGAAGAATTATATATTGCTACCAGCACTTACCATTATCTTACCAGTTTACTCCTTTTCAAGAAAAGAGTCAGAAAACATGCCTTGTTGAGTTAAATGTAAAATTAATATAAACAAACCAATAATATCCCTGTTACTTTGATGGGTAGTTTACAGTGCATAGTAATGAAGTATCCAATCAGTTCTTACCTCATCCATATCCTGCACCTGTGTGTCTTGATCAGGCTGTGAGGGGTGCCCTTCACCTCGATCCTCCCGCTCGTCGTCGTCATCCTCACTCTCAACCTCCATCTCCACTTCCTCACTCTCTCCATACTTCTCGTAGCGCTCTTGAATCAAAATGCGAGCACCAAGCTCCTCTGGTGTGGTAGGTGGGGGGAAGTGGCCTAGGAAAGAAAATACCAGTTAGGATACAACACTGTAGCTACATTTAGAGGCTTACATGCTTAAAGATTAAAGTTACTGTGGTTATATTACCTTGTTCATTTGGCTGGAAATCCACCGTCTCAACCACTACAAAGTCATGCCAGTCGATTTGGGCATATGCCACTCGTTCCTTCTCTCTTTCTTCCTCCTCCTTCTTTCTCTCACGCTCCTGGAACTTTGCCCACTCAACACGGTACCTCACCTGACGGTTGTGTAATAAAACAGCTGATTAACATGGGCAACATGCTATTAAAAGCTTACTCTGAAAAACAGTGAGTGTTTTAAGAGATTACCTGGTCCATAACCTCTCTCGGGTTCTCAGCCTCTTTCTTGAGTTTGGTCAGTAGGCCTTTGGGTGGGATCAGAATCTAAAGGTTGAGAAACAAGAGCAAAATACAATTTAGCATCACCACCAAAACAAAGAATACCAATAATATCAAGAAGGCACAATCTGTTGAGTTACCTTAGTGTACTGCTCAACCAGTTTGGTGAAGTAGTTGAAGAGGCTGTGCTGTGGCCGCAAAAAGTCAAACTGGTAGTTCCTCTGTTCTTTCTGCATGAGTTGAGTGAGAAACTGACGGCCATTGCGGGCAACAAACTGGGCAGTCAGCTTGACAACATCCAGATCAAAAGCTGAGATTGATGGAGGATCTGCAATGAACTCAAACTCAGGTGGTGGTTCTTTGGGCACCACTGTCTCCTGAATCACCTGGGACTGGACCTATTGATGGACATAAAGTATCATTTAGTTAGGAAAAAAATACCAAGTGTGAGCCATGACAAAAAAAAAAATAAAGTAAGAGCAGACTGAAATACAATGTCTTACTTTCTGAGGAAGCTGCTGGGACTGCTGCATGGCCTGTTGCATAACCTTAGGCACAGCTGCAGATGGTTCTTGTGCTTTCCCCTCCTTAAATTCATTGACTTTGTGACGGTAGTAGGCATGGTAGGGGTCATTGGGGTTAAGGAAATTAAACTTTGGATTGTTGATCTCATTCTGACGGATTCTTGCTTCAAACTCAGGCCCATTCCTGTGAAATGACAAGAAATGAGTAACATCAAGGGCTGCAACTAATGGTTGTTTCCATTGTCAGTTAATCTGACAATTATATCCTCAAATAAGTGACTAGTTGTTCAGTCTAAAAAATGTCAATCTGTGTTCCCAAAGTCCAAAATAACACCCTCAAATGTCATGTTTTGTCTACAACCCAAACATATTTAGTTTACAGTCATAGGACAGTAGAAACCACAAACCATTCAAATGTTAAAAAGCCAGAATCAAGGAATTTATACTTTTTCTCTTGTAAAATTTTTCAAACTGATTGATGAAATTTTAAAATAGTTGTAGACTGATTTGATACAAGACAGCTTTAAGAACCACCAATTGATAGTGTCAGTTCTAGTTATATTATAGACAAAAAATCCAGGTACGATTGCAGCAGTGTATAATTGACAAATATGCTGTAACCAACCTGGCAACAAAGCTGGCTGTCTTGTCGACAATGTTTCGGACCTCTGGAGGTGGATATATGATGCCAACAATGGGTTTAGTTGCTGGGGTTTCTTCCGGTGGTGCATCGTTCTGTTGACGAAATGAACATTTGTTAAATTGTACTTGGCAAGATTTAAAAAGTGATTTAGAGACAAGGTAAAGCACTTAATTGGCTTCCACTGCATCCATATTGTTGCAAAGGGAATATTACTCCTATTGCTGCTGAACAAAATGATTAGCCAACCATTCAAATACATGTGTAGGAAATTAAAGCATTAACGTTATTTCTTTTTAGGAAAATTTCCTCGACGCTATGTACAGTACACACACTTCGCTGTAAAAGTCCTCATAAGGGGCAACCGGTAACTTATGGTAATTACTGGTAATAACAGGTAAGACGATGTTGAATTTATATAAATGTCAGTTGTTAATAGTTTTACTAAAGAAGTCAAATGTACTGGAGTGACTGCAGTCTTAGCAGCCATCAGAAATCAATTAAGTTGTGTTAAGAGCTCTTCAGGTGAACTGACCCACAAAGCTAACAAGCTAACAAAACTGTTTAGCCTAAATAGCCGCTAGCTACTCTAAACCACAAATTCATTGACGTGCTTCACAGTAAATGGAAGTAGAGGTAAAACCAGCTGTTTACTAGTGTGCTATCAGAAGCAGTATATAAGCTACATTGCTAACATTAGCAAACTTGGAGACGTATCGTTACCTTGTTGTTGGGCTCCGGCTGAACTATTTGAACAGGCCCAGGCGGCATGGCTGCGGCTTTGTGTTGGAACAAGAAGCTACCTGCAAACACCCAGCCAACAAGAAGAGTATATGTAGTTTTAGATAATACTTTTTATGCTAGATATTATTACATGAACGCAACATATAACAGCCTAAAGCCTAAATTCGCGTTGGTTAACACTTACTGCGTCGCGCTCTCGTTAACTCAATGGAGGCGTATTACTTCCGGGCACAAGCCGCAAAGCATTATGGAACTTTGAGTACTTTTTTTAGTTGATGTTGCCAAGGAGATGCAACGTCAACAAGCTGCATCTACTTTTTTATTGCTGTGTTTGACAGAAAATAAACCAGCTAGATATTTTTCAGACATGAGTCAGTTCCTGGGTCGGCAGGACTGTATCGACAGCCTCCGAAAAGACCTGGTGGACCTTCAAGGGGCGATTCTGGACGTGTTTTCAAGAACCGGACCCGTCAGATTTTCTTCCTGGAAGTTCCCCGACAAATTCTCCTGTAGTCTGGATATGGTGGCTTTGCTTGAGCAGTACGACTTCGTGGATGGGGAGGATGCCTTTAATCAGCACTCCCACATCGTTTTATTGGAGTTGGTGATTGACAGGTAATATATAAGGTTACATCAACAACATATTTATTGTAGAACTTCTGTCAACTATTTTCTCCCTTTCTGTCTGAACTAGACTGCTGCTTCTTCTGCAAAGCTTTAATGCTTATGTTGAGCAACTACGAGGCAGGAGAGGGCAGACCCAGCATAAAGGATGCCTGTCTGTTGGACTTGTGGTCAGAAGCTATTGGAGTAATCTAGTTCAATTTACCACCACTAAGGTAGGCATACTGCTTCACTGAAAAGAAGATAAAAACTGAAAATAATGCCAAAATATTAACTGTTAACAAATAAATTTAATTACTTTTAATGCTATCTTTCTTTTTTTTAGGAGGCATGCAGCTACACTAAGAAACATACAACAACAAAGACCTTTAACTATGATGAGACAAAGACAGTTTCACCCATTTCCTCCCAAATAGGCTCAAGGTCTGACTCCTGCAGACACAGTTTATCTGCCAGGTCTTCAGCCAGCACATTTACGTTTTCCACACAGAATCACATACCCTCCAGTTCCACTCACAGCACCCATAACTTTCCTAGAGGCGACAGCCACAACGTAGGCTGCCAGACAATTGAATCATGCCTCATTCCCTGCAATGCATGTCATCAGGTGCAGTCCCTTTTGAGGAAGACAGGAGACGCTTTGGTAGATCTGTTTCAGAGTGAGGGCCTCCCTTCGTCTCTGCAGCCTCTCTCAGCAGCTATGGAGGACACTGTGGAGCTGGGCCACATGACAGCAGGTGATGTTGCTCAGTGGGCCAATGAGCAGCTCAGGGACATGCGCCGGCTGGCAAAACACCTTCAAGATGTGCGGGGTACAGTGCAGCCTCTTAAAGATCGACTTGCAGCAGCAGAAACAGAGCGGGAGAGGTACAGGTGCCAGCTGGACAGAGCACAGAAAGAGTTCAAGGAAAAAGTGGAAAGACACCAACAAGACATGGTCCAGCTGGAGTTTTCACTGCGGAAAGCACAGAGATCCATGAAAGAAACAGAGCAAAGGCTACAAAAGGAGCAGCAACAACTTAAGAGAGGTGAGTAAACGCATGAATAAACAAGATGAGAATTCACTGAGATTACGTTTACTACTTTTGTATTTTCGTAACAGAAACTTTGTCATTGGAGGAGAGAAATTCCAAACTCCAGGAAAAAGTTGCATTACAGCAAGATACTTTTCAAGCACTCGGTATGGACATGAGATTTGTTTACCGTCATGCCACTTTTTCTACAATAATCACGTTTTGCAGAGGTAAATAAATTGTTATGCTGTGTAATTAATCATTTTATTTTGTGTTAGAATGTGAGAAGAATGAGCTGCAGGAGAAAGTGAAGACCTTGCAAACAGAGGAAGAGGCCTGTTGTAAACTAGGGCAAAGGATCAAGCAGCTAGAGGGTGAAATCACTGACACTCAGCTCCTTCTTGACAAGGAGAGCGCCAAGTACCAGAGCGCTTGCCGTCAACAGGAGGTCAGCAAACACCAGATAATTTGCAGGTCACATAACAGTAATCAAATAGATTTATACTGGTGTGATAGGTTTGTTGTGGGTTTTGCATCCAGTCAATGCAGGCAAAGCAGAAATCTTTGCTGGAGAGAGTTGATGCCCTGGATGAAGAGTGTGAAGAGCTGCAGAGGCAACTGGAAGATAGAGAGGAGAGACAGATCAACCTACACAATCAGCTGCAACAGGTGTCAAAGGAAAAGGAAGAGCTGCAGGCTCAGCTCACTCAGCAGCAGGTATATCACAGCCCTTTAACTGCCATTACCCATTGTCATACCCATAGTGAATCCATCCTTGTAAACAAAGTAACATATGCTTAAATGTTTTTTGTTTTTTTTTCCCCAATCAGGACTTGTGTTTCCAGCTCCAAAAGGAGAAGCAGAAGTTAGAAATAGATGCTGACCAGCTAAAAAGCTGTGTGGCTGAGCTGCAAGAATCTGTGAAAGCTTTAAGGGAGAGGGAGAGGCTGCTGGTGGCTTTCCCTGAGCTCACCCCCCTGGCTCAGACCCAACCACAGAGTAAGCAACTATGAATCACCCACTGCCAACCATTACCTGCATGTATGTACATAAAACCTGTCCCGTGTTGTTTACACAATGTATTAAACAGAGTGTGAAAAGTAAGTGTACAAAGTGTTCCTGTGCACTTGTGTGTGGTGAAGACAGCAATGAAAATGGAATGTTACAAAAATGATTCCACATGCATTATTTGGAAAGGTAAAGTGTGAATATCGTCTTAAATCGGAACATTTATTGCCCGCCTACCTCTTTTTTGAGTACTTTCGTCTTGTTGAATGCTTACTTAAGCATTGTTCTTTACCTGCAAGGTACAGGAAATGTGCTTCTGGATATGGAGCAGCAACTGCAGGCAAATAGCATTCGTATAAAAGTTCTGGAGCAGGAAAATGCTACCCTGCACAGGAGTCTGGAGAAACTGGGGGAAAGAGCGCGACATAATGCCACCAGGGTAGGACATTTATAATGGTATAAAACATGGAAATATGTGAATTGATGTGTATTATACACACATGAACAATCATACATTCAGCTCCTACATAATTTTGTAGATGTTTCTGGGAGCATGGGAAATATTTATACCTTTTTATTCACCACCGCAGACATGGAGCGCCTCCCTGCACAGCACACCAGCAGGAAATCAATTAAATCACTCGACACAAATGCAGAACAGTCAATTGTAAGAACTCGGCTCTTGTTAAAGAAATATTACATTCTAACACAAGCAGTATTAAGCACACATTTTTATAAATAAGTAATCATAACACTGGGTTTTCATTGTTGCCTTCATCTGCTGTGTGCCGCAGGCAGAGCAGCAGTGCAGCACGGCTGGGATACAGTAACAAAGAAAAGGAACCAAGTGGAGGAGAAAGTGGTCTGGAGTCGGCCGGGTCAGAGGATCGTGTGTCTGCCTCCCCCTCGTACCTGCAAATTCGCCTTCAAACCCTCCACCTCAACACGGACTCCGCTGCTGCTACAAGCCATGCAAAAATACGCAGTGCTTCTCTGCTCTCTCATTCTAGAGGCTTGAGTCTGAAGAAAAAAAAAAACCCTGAAGATGTAAAACCCAGCTTTGTATAAGGATTCTTGGAAACAATTATTGTTAGTATTGTAATGTTTTATTTTGCCGTTGTGTATTTATATGAGAGTGGATTAACAAAAGTACCGCTACACATCTTAGTACGTGAAGTTCAATATGTCTTTAATAAATATATTGTGGATACACAGAAGGAAGAGTGTTGCTTTACTGCTGTTAAAAGATGGCTGATAGCCATTGTGTATTAGGTTTCAGGATATATGATATGTTTCTCCCACACCCTGCATGGATCTGAATAGGTGGCCTTCACAGCACATGTATCACATGATCCTAAGTAAATGGGCAATTTGTACAACCTTGAGCGTCACACAAATAGCGTCATGGAGACAGATGTCTGTGTCATTGTTTGTAAGCTCAAGTACAAAGGTGGGGAGTGGGAGTTTCCATGGAAACGCCAGGACTTGCAGGATTCGCAGGATTCATGGTCTGCTGAATCATTTCAAACCTTCAGTTCAGTCCCTTCAATATAATGTTTCAGTATCTCCTCTTTAGTGCACAGAGATTAAAGACCACACACATTGTAGATCCTTTTGAGTTGTTTGTCGTTTTTGTATTTGCAGCTCACAGCATGAAGTTTGTTTTGCAGCGCTGGTTTGAGATGCAATGAGCTCAGTTGTGTTATCTGAATCAAATCGAGTGCAAGAAATTATAATCATCTTAGAATCAACACTGACCTCTTTCCAGTTTTACCTGAATGCACATCTGATCTGTTGTTTCATTCACACAGCAGACGTCTCGTGACCTGAAGGTTAATCCCTGACTTGGGTTAACAACACAGTTGTGTCATCATGCATGTAATTGAAGTTAGTCTTAAGCTCTTTTAACCAGCGTCATAGATGCCTGTGAAAATTATACCGGTATTATGCTTGACAAAGCAGTTCATTAAAATATGGCATTTACTCATTTAAATCAAGAGCAGCTGGCTTATAATGACTAAATACTGCAGTCTTAGTTATGAACATAGACTATATGTTGCAAGAAAATAAAACATATGACTGTGATGCAATTGCAAACAATTTTCTATTATCATAGACACCAGCAGAAGCTTCCTAATACAACACCACTTAAAGTTCAAAACATTTGTAATCATTGAAATTGTAAACATGGCTTTTCTGGGTTCTGTATTTAGCAGAAAGTAAGTATGAATGCCTAAATATATGGTAGTGGACTATTGACAGGTGTCTGAGTATAATAGAGACCAACAAAGGTGTAAAACTAGATATTCAATGTGTGGGGGCCAAAATTTAGAAAAGCTTACAAGATGATATGAGATAGTTTGTAAGGCTTTGCAAAACAGGTCTATAAACCTTTCCTTATAAAAATGAGAAAAGATGACATGGTTGAATGTACCTACAATATACTACACCTAATATATGTAAAATATAGAATGCGCTCTAAACAAAAAGTTGAGTTTTATGCTGCATTCACTCTTTTTCATTTCATCATTTGTATGTGCTGGTTCCTCAACTAATGAATTTTTATTCTTTGTTTTAGTTGTCTTTTTGTGAATGTTATTTGCTGCTCTTGATGAGCCACAGACCAGCACCTTGTACACAAAGCCACCGTGAGAATGTTTCCTAACTTTCCAGGATGTGAGATGTCAGAATACTCCACAATTTAGATTTTTGTAAATGCTGCTTCAAAACATTTATTTTTTAACCTTTTGCATTTTACACAGACATACACTTTATAACAGAAAGATCTGAGACTTTGATGTGCGAGTACAGAGTACAATACTATTCAGAAGTAAGAAAAGAAATAAAGAATTGGATCATTTATAACTGTGCTTCCTGGCACAAAAAAGATGAAAGAGAAAGAAGTGAGAGAACGTTCAGCTTAAAAAAGCACCACGGTATTAATATCTGCCACTGGCCCGGACATCAAAAGCATAACTGTGACACAAAGTTACCAGACAATAGTTTGCAAACTGTGCAAAGGTGTACAAAATTCTCTTGAACCTGACTCCTTTTTGAAACTATGCCAAAATGCCTCCTGTTGTACATTCCTCTTCCATGTTTGTGTTTTGGTTTAATAGTTCGAAAGCATATACGATTTTTAATCCAACAGACAAAGAAACGAAACACACTAAACCACTCAGACTGACTACACTTGCTTTCGAAATCAGTCTGCATCGATTACAACATGTTTAAGGCCATTGGTTTCTTAAGTAACACATGCAAGCACACAACAACTGAAATAAATAAAAACAGAATAGACATTTTGTAAATACTTCAACATATGCATTTTGTAATAAAACCTAATTTCTGGTCATTTATCAACATGAGTGCAGAATGCGGGAATGTTAGTTGTATAATATGAGCGTATTCTCACATGTGTGGCTTTCTCTTATCTAGGTCAAGCTGCAGACTGGCGACAGGGACTATTGCAAATCTGCTGGGATTACTACGGCCTCAGAGAGATGAAGCAGATCCCCGTTTAACATAACAACCAAAGTCTGCCTGCCTGCCAATATTTGTCTGTGAAGATTCCCATTCAGTAGTTTTGTGCTTGCCTATATATCCATTTATCTGATTATCTCTCAGGTTGTCTCAGGAAATCAGTATAATCAATGTGCTTTGATACAATATAATCTCATGCCAACAGGGAGAAAGAGGAAAAGCTGCTGTCGAAAGGTCCGTGAGAAAAACACTGCAGATCGGTGACACACAAAAAAACCGACAGGGTCATGGGATGAGATTTAAGAGATTAAGGGAGGAACTGAAGTGTTCAGCCAGTTAAAAAGTGAACACAGTTTACCGATATAGACTAATAGAGGTACATGCAAAACATATAACACAGATATAGTAACACACAAAAATGGGAGTGGAATGAACAGAAAACGTAAGCTAGTGTTACCTTTATAAAAGAAATATGATTAGTAATAATAGAAAAATAAATACATACATTATCTTATAATATAGGAATAAATACTTCAGGACAGTCTATGAGTACCAAAGGAGTCAAACTAAATGAATCCAAATTAATAAAACCTGTGGTTTCTTCTGTATCTATGGGGAGAAGATAGGATAAAAGGCATAAATGTAAACTCACAACTCTGTGCATTCCTCTGCTTAATTTAAACAAAATAAAAAATAAAACATGCAACAAATGGATGCTTACTCTGCTCAAAATGATATCTTTCAAAAATGTAGTTGGTTATCCTCCAAAAAATGTAAATGTTTCAGCTCCAGAGCTGTGTGAACATTTTTAAAAATCCTCCAGTGTTTGTAACAAAGAAAGCACCATATATAACCTACAACCGCATGGACAAACTGGCAAGGTTGCAAGAAGAGAGCTGGTCTTAAAGGATATAACACAACTTTGATGCTAAAAGTTTTACAGGACAGTAATAAAGCTCTCTACTGTACATTTGAGTATTACAAGATATACAAATATGCTTCACAATAAGACAGAGAGAGTGCATCCCATCCCGTGGTGTGCATACATTTGCAGAGCAACAAGTACAGACTGTCACACGCTAAAGGGAGTGAGATACAAAGAGTACACTAGTAATAGTAGAGCGCATGAGTGGGAGACAGCAGATAATACCAGGCAGTTGTACTGACGACTATGATTGGTCACATATCATCTCTTCCCTGTGTTTTCCTCGGCTGTCGAGGCAGTGGAGGCGGTGATGTGGTGCGCTGAGGAGTCCACTTGACCCTCGGGCTGGATGGACTGCACTGTCTCTACCAGGCTGCCGCTGGGTAGCACCACGTACCGGGCGGCCATGTCTTTGGGCTGCAGTTCCCGTATTCCCTCCTTACTGTGCCAGATCCCATAGCCAAAATACACAAAGAGACCTGGGAAAGAGATAGCATGGAACACTTGTGAATGCAGAAATCATTTCAATCAAAATAATGAGTGAAGAAACAAGACAAGTGGTACAAAGTTTGTTTTGTGTTGAAAGCATGGAGTTTACAATTTTCAAACTTTACTTGTTTTTTTGTTTTTACTTTAGATGACAGGACTGATTACAGTAGGGCTGTAAGGATTAAACAATGAATTGATTGATTTTCAACTATAAAATGAAGTATCAGCTTTCCCAAGTCCAAAGTCTCTGATTCCAGCTTCTAAAGTTTGAATGTTTTCTGGTTTCTTTACTTCTTGATGACAATAAACTGAATATCTTTCGCTTTGAGAGGAGAGGGAACATTTAGGGAACTTTTACCCCCTTTTAAAAAAAAACAACATTTTCAGACATTTTATATACAAAGCGACTAATTGATTAATTGAGAAAATAATGAACACATTAATTCTCAATGGATATAACTGTTAGTGGCACACTACCTTACAAGCATACAAGCATGCTAGCACTTCAAGATGAATACTTAAGGGAGCATGCTGACATCCGTATAAGTACACAGCCAGCAGCTCATTATGCAAGCATAGGTATAGCATGCTAACATTTGCCAGTTAGTGGTAAACACAAATTACAGCTAAATCTGATTTGCATGTAATTTGTTTTGCAGGTATTTAGCCACAAGCTAAAGTTTTAAAAATACAATTTTGATCAGATGATATGGCCACAAAGAAAAATTTGATGATTGCAGTGAATATTTTTTATTTAAAGATTATTATTTTGCATTTGCCTTTATTTAGAGCAGTGCAGCGCAAAGAGATAAAACGTGTAGGGAAGAGAGGAAAGGAGTGAGAATCCCACCAGGGCCCACTTGGCTATTAGGTCTCCCCAGGCACAGCTCCTCTTATGGGGAATATGAAAAAGTGTGCTAAAATGGAGCAACAGATGAACAACTAACACACGAACACTGCCACCCTGCTAGCTAAAAAAATATCAGAGGCCCTCACTTCAGTTTCTGAAACTACGTTTGCAGCTTTGTGTTTACTCTGGTGCAGTATTGATCACTAATCAGTCCACATTAACTCTGAGATGAATGGTGAAATCTCATGCCTTTTCGTCAATGGCCATTATGGAAGGCAAGTGTCCATTTCTGTCTCTGGGGAGGGAAAGCTTAGCCAGAGGCCCTGTCAAGTGTAATATCCCGCAAGTGTGCATCTTGTTAACTTGCAGCAGTCTGACAGTGGTGTTTAAATGGTTTAGTGGTCCAGAGAAGCCTTAAGCTAATGCAGATAATCATGTTTCTCCAGTGATCCTCCTCCTCACTGACGGGACATTAACACTGTTTGACCACCACCTACATCCTCAGAGGATTGCTGACGAGTGCCCAAAGTTTCTCTGCTTTCTTTGAGTGCAGAAAGTGCTTGTTTAGTCTTTTAGTGTCTTATTTTTGTACAGTAGGTTCACTGGCAACAAGAGGCCAGGTGCTTTATGACAGTTAAAACTACTTCCTGGCTTAACCTTTACATCATATCATGTGTCAACTCCAGACTAAAGATGAGTATTTGTGGAGAGAGGAAGCTTTGATACCAGTATTCATAGTAAATGTATTTGATCTTCTTTTGAGTAGGGCAAAAAAAATGTTTTTCAATTATATGTTTGAGGAACTATGCAAGAGAGAAGTTTTTATTTGATCACCACATAAATATGCTGTCTAAGATCTGATGCTTTCTTACCAATGGCAATCCACACAGTGAATCTAATCCAGGTTAGAAGGCTGAGCTTCATCATGAGGAATACATTAAAGAGGATACTGGCACCCGGAGTCAGTGGAACCAGAGGTACCTAGACAACAATGATAACAAAAAGGAAGAATTTTATTTTTTTTAAAAACATTTAATCAACAACACTCAGTTTGTTGAACACATATTAACTATATATTGCCTTACTTGACCAAATAACACACAGACTTGAATAAAAACGATTAAATCTCACCTGGAATGTTTTGTTGTTTTTTTGTGGCTCATGAACCCATATCAGCGCCAGGCTGACGATGTAAGCTAAGCTAAAAATCACCAGCAGCATCGTGAAGCTCCAAACTGGCAGTTGCAGCTGTTTGTTTCCAAATTCCAACACAACGCAGAGGGATACTGAGCTCACTATCAGCGTCAGCACACAGAAGGCCACCACCTCGCCTGGCTCACAGTCCCCCAGCAGCCTGTCCAGGTATGGTTCCCAGCAGGCCTTTAGCTGCCCAACCCCACGCGGCTCTTTCGACTTCTGCCTTTCCACCAGCTGGAGTTTGTCAGAGAAGGACTCGTACTGCTTCGGCTCCTCGCTGTCCTCAGTTATGGTCTGAGATTCTGAGGGTGCAGGGGAAGGCTCAGCGATGGGGTTCGGAGTGGTGGAAGCGGTTCCCTTGCCGCTGGTTTTCTCAGGCTGGAAGCGCAGCACGATAACACTTGCTGCCACAAAGGTGTAAGCCAGGAGGGTGCCGATGGACAAGAACTGAACCAAGGCCTCCAGGTCAAAGATCAGAGCCATGGTGGCCATGAGGATTCCAAACACCAGAATAGCATTGACAGGAACTTTGGTAATGGGATTGACCCTTGCGAAAATGGAGAAAAACAATCCATCCTCAGCCATGGCGTACACGATCCGAGGGAGGGAGAAGAGATTACAGAGCAGCACGGTATTCATGGCTAGAAATTGGAGAGAGAATACAAGTCAGAATACAGCACTAAAAAGTCAATACCACTGCTAAACATACTACATATAAATTGTAATTCTCAGTTAAAGGTTGACACTCACCACAGATGGAACCTACTGCCACAACAACTCCTGCCCAACTGTAGCCACGGCGGAAAAAAGCATCTGCCAGAGCCGAGTTGGGGTCCAGTGTACGCCAGGGAACCATTAGTGTGAGCACTGTGGAGACCAGGACGTAGGCTGTTGCTGCCAGTGCAAGGGAGATAGCAGTCGCAATAGGAACAGCCTTCTGTGGATTCTTTGCCTCCTCACTTGAGGAAGCAATTACATCAAAGCCCACAAATGCGTAGAAGCAAGTGGCTGAGCCTGCCAGTATTCCAGACATCCCAAAAGGTGCAAAGCCTCCTTGTTCCTGGCTCCAATTGGCTGGTTCAGCCAGCATAAAGCCAAAGACCAAGATGAAAACGATGACACCCATACTTATGAGGGAGAAGATGTGGTTGAGGTAAGAGGACACTTGAACTCCAAAGGAAATGAAGAAGGAGGCAACTACTAGAATTCCTGCTGCAAGTAGGTCAGGGTAATGGGCAAGGAAGGGCACGTGCCACTGCATAATGTGTGTCTCCGTGAAGTTCTGGATAGCGTGGTTAAAAATGGAGTCTAGATAGCCACTCCAGGCACGTGCCACGGCCGCACCACCAATCATGTTCTCCAGAATCACATTCCAGCCGATGAGAAAGGCCCAGACCTCTCCCACGGAGACGTAGGTAAACATGTAGGCAGATCCTGTTTTGGGAATACGTGCTCCAAACTCTGCATAACAAAAGGCAGCCAGTAAAGACGCAATACCTGCGAAAAGGAAGGATATGATGACAGCAGGCCCAGCCGTGTCTTTAGCCACTGTTCCTGTGAGGACGTAAAGCCCAGAGCCCACCATGCCGCCAACACCCATGAGAGTCAGGTCCAGGGTGGAGAGGCAGCGCTTCAGAGAAGTTGCCATCATGTCATCATCTAGTGTCTTCAGTCGGTTCAGTCTCTGACAAAGGCGCACTGCTGGCGCACATCCCCTTGGACAAGTTGCCATAGCTACAGAGTCAGACAGGCCAGCTAGGCGGGTTGATGTTGTGGTAGTCACACTGGAGCCATTACCTGTCTATGAAGATGACCTGCAAGACAGAGCACAACATTTATTAAAGTGTACACCAGAACAGGAAAAACTACTGCAGCTACTACATTCAGGATGTACTGCTACAGTCGGTATTTTGGAGTCTGGTGCTTGGCTCAAAATCTTCTATATACTACTGCTAATTGACCCATACCAGGGTTGCATGATATATCGCATTAGCATCTACATCGTGATGCGCAGGTTGTGTGCAAATTCTACGAGATGCAAAAGTCGATCTCAGAGAGCATAATTCAATCTGATTTGACTTTTTTGATAAATGTTGTTTTGGGATTTTCTTTAAAAAACATAGAGTTCCACATGTGCAAACAAATGAGCGAGAAACTGGGAAGAAACACAACATACACCATCAGGTGTATGGAAATATTTCAGCTACAGAAAGCATGATGTTGACTGAAAATGGCTACTTTGTCCGCAGTGGCTGGCAGTTGTTGCCACCACAGGAGGCAACATGACTAATTAGTCTTACCATTTAACTTGGCCCCACAGAGCTGTGTATGATGAGCGCAAAGCCAGATCTGAATTGAAATCAAAGCAGAAAGCTATTCTGATGCCTTTGGCAGTGCCGCATCATATGAGAAAGGTTCCAAACAGCTTTTCTTGATCTTTTTTTAAAATTATTTTTTTATTTTCCGCACAGATGCCCCCTCCTAAAAAAGAACCCAAAACATTCTAGAGTAATTCATTCTGTCTAAATGGAGTTAGTCAGCTTTCTAGTTTAAAAAAGGCCTGTATTTAAAAAAATATTCTATATATATTAAAATACTCTACAGCTCAAATCTATACTGGAATATGTAAGAACCAATGCATTCTGTGCCACTTTTTTTTTTTTTTTTAATTTAGAACTGCCTTCCAAGTTTGGTCTCTATCCAAGAAAATGATCTGTTCACTCTTGCCTATACAATAAAAACCTAAATTAGGAGTGACATGAAATTCAGGATTTAAATTTAACAGTATTTTAATTCCGTTGGTGTGAATCTGGAAATCATCTGATGTGGGAGACTCCTATGGTCTTGGGTCCCTTTGAAATAAAGCATGATCTTATTAAAAGTAACACAATCATGGAGTTAAAAGCTTAATAAAATCCACGTGTCTTTTGGACAAACATGGTATTCAGTAAGCTGACCTTATTAATTACATTTTTCCAGAGCCTCTAACAACAGCAAAGCTTGAGAGACATGTTATGTTGTGAGAAACGTTGTGGACTCAACAGCCAGATGATACCAAATTTACATATCTCGCTTCATTATTATTTTACAGTTTCTGTGTGGCTTTTCCACCTGCACATTGTCATTTGTATTTCTGTTTCCGCACTATGAGGCCACAATGAGTGGCTCTGCCCCGAACAGGCCAGTCCACGTCATCTAAAAGCTCCGGCTGAAGTGTGAGATTGCAGCATTATAAAAACAAAAAGCAAACAATAGAAGCACTATCAGTCCATTGGCTTAGCTGAGTCTTTTCATCAGTTGTACACAGTGTTCATCTTCCTGGACCAGGCCGTGCAACATCCTACTCTCAGCCTCGATGGGCATATGGCGACAACAGGATGCCTCCATTATAATTACGTAACGCTTTATTCCCCACTAGGAATAAAAGCGCTCTCATTCGGGACTGTTTTACAATAAATATCCAAGCAAACATACCCACGAGCAAGAAAGAAGAAAGAAAGAGCAGACGACGATTCCAATGAGCGTCGTTTTAAATGTCAAATTAATAATTTATAACAAAATGGAAACGAGGATCGTTAGTGCATCAGTCTACCTCTCTCCTGGATGGAAACGCTGCGCTGCATCGCACTTTTTTTTTTTTTTTTAATTTCTGAGTTATGTGTGATTATTCCATCACTGCTCTCTTTAGGAGTAATAAAATTAACAATGCGTTTACCGTTGCTGCTGTTCGGGGTCTCTCATCGGTGCTGTTAGAAGTTGCCGGGGCGCATCGTCTGGTGATGGAGCAGAAGGTGCACCGAGCGATAAAAACCAACACGCGCTGCCTGGACTGCTTCTTAAAGGTACACACACCTTCTGCACAGGGAGGGCTTCCCCGCCGCGCCCCACCCTTATTATAGCAGGACATCCGCGGGAGGAGGCAGGCAGGCAGGGAGGGTCTCAGGGAGGGGTGGGGGGTGCCCGGACCAGAACGCAAGGCAGCAGTGAACCTCTATTTAAATAGCTCGTATGGATGTCATAAAAAACACAATTAAAATGGGACATTCACCATTGAAAATAGTACCATGTTTGATCACATATAATTTTTTATACCAAATGATAGGCAACATATACAGTCGTCCTCAAATGTATTCATAGCCTCCCATTAAAGAAGGAAATAAACAGATGGCACTGAAATAAGTTGAAATTCACAAAAGTAGTAATAAAGAAAAATTTAATGAAAATCATGACATTGCTATTGAATTGTGGTTCAAAAGAAATATTTTTTTAAAAACAAACAAAAAACAAAAAACAAACAAACAACAAAAAAACAAGCATGATGGGACCAGTGAACTAATATTTTGTTGAACAACCCTTTGAGCCAATCACTGCAAGTGTTTTCTGTAACTCTCAGTCAGACTTCTGCACCTGTCCAATTTAAAAAAAAAAAAAAATTCTTTTAAATGACAATTTAAAAGCTATGTTTTGTTTCACTAAATTATAATTTACCAAATTTTTATTCATTATTACTTTTCCAGTTTCTAGTTATTTGAGTGACTATTGTGAATTTTGCCTTTTCTTTAATGGAAGGGTATGAATACATTTGAAGAAAACTGTATGTATCTGCGTGTAGCAGGTGGCAGGTTGAGGACTGGATTTCTAGGAGGGTTATGATTATGAATGGGTGGGGGCCTTCTGAGGGTTGGGTGCTCCCTTCCTTGTTGTTGCTGATGTTAAAAACAAGGGGTCTAGAAAAGTGGTCCCACAACCGCAGTCTTCTTAATGTGGGGAATTCAATATGTGATCAGAGGGGTACACTACGAAGCAAGTTTAACATTGCCGTGCTTTCTTTGTGTAAGTCGGCTTGACAAAAACTAAAGCCCTAGTCAGGGATCATGGGTATCACGAAGGTGGTTATCAACTTTCTTTGTCAGCTCGGACTTTCTGTTACAGACAGTGTGCTCACCTAAAAGGTGCGGTTAACAAACTGTGTGACTCTTTTTCTGAACAAAATAAAAGGATTGTGTGCAGCTGCTTCAAACAAGACATTGTTTTAATGGAGAATAATGAGGAATATAAAAATGTATTATGGTAAAAAGCGTTGCTTGTGCAAATACATGAATGCTGGTAATAAACTGTTAAATGTGCGCAATATTTATTTTACTGATCGGTGCAGCCTCTTATTTGTAACTGACAGGTGCACATTAAACATGCTAACCTTTAAACTTCATATATTTAAACATGATCTTGTATTGAAGTGCATTTAGGTCTGACACTGTGCCATCATGCAGGATACCAATTTAATTTTTGGCTAAATCAAAGCGAAATGAATGTTCTTAATTGAATATTCTCTGTAATAAATACCAGTAGAATAATCCATTTTGTAATCTGTTTACTATCACCTGCAGTATCAGCAGAGTAAACAGACTTGACAGCAAATCAGAGCCAAACATAAAAACACATTTATGTGATTTCTGCATCACCAACTAAACACGTCTGGTTCTCATGACAACACGATGCATACAATGTGCGATACTGTAACTGCACGGCTTCATTCAGTAATATTAGTAACACAGATATAACACATTTTCTCTGTTGAGAATCTGTATTGCTCCCAGAGAATCGTCAGGAACCGATTTGATTAAAGGGAGACGCTTCCTCCAGCTGATTTAAATCAGAAACTCTAAACATAACCTGCTCCCGACCAGGTTAGCTCCACAGCATCAGTTACCATGGAGATCTAGCAAGTAAAAACAGAGCCACCTTCGTGATACTGAAAACTCTGACTTTAAGCTCAACATACCGCGCCAACCCACTAATCCCGCTTCATAGTACAGCCCTCAGAACTCCTGATCATGAAAGCTTTATAAGTGATCATCTTGCACTCAGTCAGTAGCCAGTGTCAAGAACATAGATGCAATATGATTCCTGCATTAAAGTACATCTGGCTGAAATTGTGCATGTTAGGCTTTACAAATGAAGATAAACCAACACAGAGAGGATATTACTTCTATTCAGCTGCAGATTTATTTGCTCATGCATCCATTTACTTTTGGTGTCCAGTAAAGATACCCACAAACAGCGCAAGTTGCAAGTGGCAGCTCTGTGTATCATATTATTGATTAAAATGTTCATTGAAAATATCTGTTTAAATGCACTGGTGTTGGCTCACAACCCAATTTGGACCCATGGAACCAAAACAATTAAAACAAGCTGAACAGGTAAAAAAACAACAACAACAACAGCAACAACAACAAAAAAAACTCCTTATATAAAGTCTGCTCCAAAAAGAGCTACAACATCATGACACCATCAATGAACAAGGTTTTTGCACAATAAACTTCCACCATTGCAGACAGCAATAATATTTGGAAAGTTGCAAATGATTGATTTTCTGTTGCTCAGAATTTGGTCTCACATAACCAATGAAATTTCCCCTCCACCTGTTGTTAACTGCTTCAGAGGCATCAGGAGACACCTATCATTCTTAGAGGCTCTTGTGAGACCATCTCGCTGCTGGACGGTCACAGCCTATGACTTACAACCATTTCTGTTGTCCTTTGTGTCCTTAAAGGTGTTGACAATGTGTCTCTAAAGGATTTGCAACAAAGCAGCTTCCTAATTTCACAATGTGCAACATGGCATTTAAGTCGTCACAGCCTGCATACAACTCTCCTCCAGGACTTGAAACATCGTACTTCAATACCTGAGAACTAGGTTTCTTTCACAGGTTTAAGACAAGTGTGATAACCACACTCAGAACAACACATGTTCAACTTTTTCTGAACTTGTTGCTTCTTGGAGATAGCAGTATTACATGTTGGCAAATGCATGCTGAATCTCAGAATTGCTGGAATGTGATGTCTCTGGCCACAACATGTTCTTTTGTTTCTTCACAGGCAAATTTAGGTCTGTCTGTCATTGTTCTCATAGTATCCCAGATTGTGACTCCTTCTGTTGAAGTTTGAGGATCAATTCAAGAAGGTTCATCTGCATTGTCAGCTCCTGAAACACACAGTGGGTAAAGAGCAGTTATATAGGACGGACATCGCCATCTGCTGGACATTTGTCTTCATCACAAGCAGGTTGTTTTTAACTGTGGTCAATCTGCTGCTTATTGTCTGGACTATTTGAGTAGTTGTCTGGTCTACAGCTACAACAGTGCTGATCAGTGTATCCCAAAGCTTAGGATGACGTCTTTGCAGCATTACACTTTACAACGTTTATTATTACGTACAACCCCATGATATTCAGTTTACTGTCATAGAGGTGGGAAGAAACCACCAAATATTTAGCATATATTATGAATCAGATTTATTTTTTTTTTTAATTACTCAAACCATTCATTAGTAGTAGCTGACAGCTAATTTACTAATCGTCACAGCTCTCATTACACGTGCACATCCTCTCTGCTATTCTACCTTTTGTGACAATAGTACACAGTGAGTGGACAGGTATAGATATTTACCTGAGGATTAGTGGTGATATAAAACCCAGGGACTCCCGCCTTCTCGAGGGTGTTCTGCTGGTCTATTACTTTTTGATCGATTTCTGCCACAATCTTCTTGTCCATCATTCTTTGTTCCTCTCGCACACGAATTTCCAGAGCCTGTCAACACAACACACAACTGTTAGTATACTGAGAAGCACACAACATTTCCACATCTAGTAATCAGAGATCTTGGGATTTCAACACTTACCTCTTGCTCTGCTTGTTGGTTTGACTTGAGAAGGGCAAGGTTGTGAGACTTGCATGACTGCAGGGCATCTTTGTGTTTTCGTGCAAGATCTTGTTTAAGTCCTACACACAAAAAAACCCCCAATGAGGAGTAACAGTGATATTTGCAAATTACAACCTCCATCAGTCAGAATGTTTCAAGATGCAGGTTTTATACTTGTAATAATTTTGGACTTGAGGAGGCAGCTGGTCTTACTTAACAAATAGCCAGGTAACAGGCATAGGCATCCTTCTTGGAACAAGCTACATGTATAAGGTTTTCTGATAAACAGAGCACTAACCTTGGTGTTCACAGTGAAGCTTCTGCCTTTGGTTGTACAGATTTTTCTCGGTCAGATGCTGGATGTCCAGGAGGCCCTGCACAATCTCATATACTGTCCCATCTATGAGTGCCAGAGCCAGGTCACTCAGTGTGTTGTAGGATAGACGCTGTTGGAATGAGCTAAACACGGAAACGAAAAACAACTAATCAAAACATCAGGATGCAGATATAAATCGCACAAACAGGAATGAATGACACCATTTCTGGCATAACCTGTTTTATGTGTAGGCAGAATGTCCTGAAGGTAGCGATACCTTGGTAAGTCTTTGACCAAAGTCTGAAGCTCAGACAACAGGTAGTAATGTCTTTCTTGTTGTTTTGTAGAATCGACGTCAACGACTTCGGCATAAACATCCATCTTTTAACAGTAAAGATGAGACTAGCACAAGACGTTGGTAAACACAATTAGCTAGCTAACAACACGGGGTTCGGCCAGCTTAACTATATTATATCTGAAAGTTTTCAGACGAAATTAAGTTATTTATTATTAACCAGCCTGTTTCTAATAATCTTCGTAAGTTAACAAAACTCTGATTGAACCAACTGGACAGGAAGAAAGACTGTTTTTAGCTACAGACTTGTACTGGCTGTTTGCCTCCATTCAAGCTAACTAGGACCCCAAGCTGCCTGTCAGGATGCCTGTCTGTAATTGCGCTTGAAGTAGCGCGACGTATTCGCCAGATGGCGCATTGTGTCAAAGAGGAGACGCTCCTGAGAAGACCATGCTGATCAGGTATGACCATAATTCACGGGTATTGCACATTTGCGCGACGGCATATGTGAAAAAATAATTTTTAAAAATGCAATAGCCTCAATTACAGATTGCGAAATTCATGCTAGATATGAACATAACGGAAAATGTAACAATAACGCATATTATTTGGTTATATGTATTTAAGGATTGACATTTCTGATGGTCTATCCATTGAACAAGGTTAACAGAGCAGCCTGAGACACAGCAGCCCGGTTCTGCTGCCCACACTGTGTCTGACCTGCTCCACTGACTGGACTGCACGCGCGCCTGAGTCGCGCGCTACTGGTGGGCTGTGCGCCGTCACGAGCTGAAGGTGTCATGAAACGAAGAAAACTGAGTTGCTGAGGAGAACAGCTCTGTTTATAAGAGCGCGTATGGGAACATATAGGAGAACCCGGATCAATAGCTCACGCGACTGAAAATGGCCAAAAACACATCTCTTTATTTTCGAATTGTCGAGGGCAGGAACCTCCCGGCCAAAGACGTGTAAGTAAATCCTGAGTGGCGTGTGACTCTGTGCTCAAGTCCAGTTTATTAGAGTAAATACAGCATTGTTTAAATAGCTACTTATAAAGCCAGATAAGAAAAGGAAGTGAAGCCTACATTTGAAATGTCAGTTTCTGCTACGCTGTCTCCTGTAAATTAATTGAAGGAATTAGAGGTGAGATTGTCAGGTCTATCTCAAGTAAACCTGAGCATAATTAAAGACAAGGGGAAATTAAATTAAGCTTTCCCCAAGGCAAATTCATTATGCTATGTCTCAGTCTGTCTTATTTTTTTCTTGTCTTATTAAGATCCGGAACCAGTGATCCATACTGCATTGTGAAAGTTGACAATGAAGTTGTGGCCAGGTGAGTTCTCCTTGATTATATTAAGTCTTCACAATATGCCAAGGAAGAGTGTTTAATTTATAGCTACCATGCTCAGATTTGAATATCCTTCGTCACAGTTTGTATATTTACAGTAAGGTTAATTTTCAGGCAGTTCTCCCGCTACTCTGCACATGTAAACCTGAGTGGAGTGTGTGTGATCAGTGTGTTGGTGTCCACAACGTGGCCCCTCCATCACAGAGAACCTGATACTGGTCTGGCCTTTAAAACACCCGCAGGTAACCATGGAGAGGGTGCATCAATTATTTCAGGGAGCACCCGGTGTGAGCAAGGAGAATGCTGGGAGCAGAATACACCAGTTCAGAGGGGGTTTAAGTCCGAGTACAAAAGTACAGAGGCTCCAAGTTTTTGGTTTTTTTTTTAATTAAAGAAGGTTATTTTAGAGAGCAGCTAAACTGAATAGTGTAGTGTTTGGACTGCAACCCACATTTCTTTCTTTCTTTCTTTCTTTTTTTTTTTTAAAAAGTGCTCATTGTGGACTTCAATAAAAAAAGTGGGGTGAATTCAGAGGCTATTGTTCCATCTGGTGTGGTGAGGGAAAGCAGCACAATGATTCACTGCAGACACTCACACTAATTATCTTGTACTTGTAGTGTTACTGGCCAACTGACTCCTCGAGTGTGATGTTCCTGGATGATGAGGCTTGTGGTGGGAAATGAATGGCTACAGTGAACTCTCAGAAGCAGAATGGTTTATTAGAACGGCACAGGATCGGGGGTTTTCTTTGAAATCTTTGTTTTTATTCTGTTGACAATGTAATTTATTGATTCCAAAACATGACTAAAATAAGCACCTTGTTTTTCTTTAGATAAACCTGTTTTTCCATAAAACCTTTTTTTGTGTATATGTTTCAAAGCGCATTGGTCATACCAGAACTTGCCTAAACTAAATGCAAATTTGGAAAAATATTGATTTAAATCAGAAATGATGCAATTTTATACAGTTTTATACAGTAGGGCTAAATTCTTAACTTTTATTGTTTTTTAAAAAATATATTTTTTACCAGATAAGCCGGTAAAATGAAGCAGTGCCTGTTTAGTGATCCCCAACAGAAGCTGCAAAATATCACTGTTTTGAACAGTTTCACCAGAGACAGATTTTCTTTTTTCACACTGTTTACTTTCAATAATTGTCACTGATGTCTAGAAGTAAACTGTTCAGTAGGCTGTCGCAAAAACAGCAACATCTAGACTGGAGCTTCAATGATGAAATGACTAATAGTTATAAACAGTTTTGATAACCAATTCATCTGTCTGAGTCATTTTTTAAGTGAAGTCATAATTCTCTGATTTCATCTTTTTAAATTACCGACAGTAAACTGAACATTTTTGGGTTGTGGATAAAACAAGACATTCAAGGATGTCATCTTGTGCTTGGGAAACACTGATTGGCATTTCTAAGGATCTATTTGTACATGTAATAGACCAAACAACTGATTGGTTTTTTTTGGTTTGAAAAAAAAAACAAAAAAAGAATTAAAAAAAGAAAAAAATAAAACTAAAACCCCAAACCAAAAAAAAAGTTAAAAAAAAAAAACAAAACAAAACACTTGTGTAATTTATTTTAACAGACTGTTTTTTTCTTCTTTCCTGTGCTGTTTATCATGTTGTGATGCCTCAGAGAAATCCGAAAAACCTAGCATTTTGTGTATATTGCATGAAAAGCATGTGATTTGTGCTCCCCTCAGGTACATTTACAAACCAGGTAAGTGAGAGCTGATGCTGCTGCAACATTTACAATGATTTCTGACCCCCTTTGTTTTGTCTGAACCCTATCAACAAATAAAATGTATTGTTATTATTATTATTATTATTATTATTATTATTATTATTATTATTATTATCCATCCATTCTTGTGATATCTTTCTGTCCGATGTTTACTTAGCAAGCATATTAAACCTGTCTTTTCAGGACGGCCACCGTGTGGAAGAACCTTAATCCTTTCTGGGGTGAAGAGTACACGTTGCACCTCCCAATGGGGTTCCATTCACTCTCGTTTCATGTCATGGACGAGGACACGATTGGGTAACACTGTCATCCAGAGCAAAAATGATTCCATAGTCAACCTTTACTCTTAGCTGACAGAGCTCGACAGCAAATTTATAGACTTCACTGTTTACTTGACTTGGTTCATGAATTGATATATTTGGGTTAAAACCTCATGCGCACGTTTTGGGGAAGAAAAAACCTCTGAGCTTTGAATAAACAAACATCCTCAGGCAGATGGTCGCCCAGATTGAGTGATTAAAGGTTGTTTTTTTTCCCCCCCTTCTCTCCTGACCACCATTACTCTAATCATTGAGCTCAACAACTTCAATCATATTTTTAATAGCTCCTATGTGGTCATCTCCTTCTTTTAAATCCTTTTCTACAGACACGATGATGTTATTGGAAAGATTACGCTGAGCAAAGAAGCCATCGGATCTCAGGCTAAAGGTATGACGGAGCAAATCAACATGGGTCTATTACTGGGTGACTGCATGACCAGAGCTCAGAGGTTAAACAGACACGGGTTTCCATGATGGAGTCAAAAGTCAGAGTGATTGAGGAGACAAGGCTTTTTAAAGTCTGGGAATGTTTCTTGTTGGTCTCTCACACATTTTATTTTATTTGGTCACTTTTTTCAAGGTTGCTTTCTAAAGATTCATTAATTTCTTACCATGATGACGCTCCCAAAGCTCGTCTGAATAAACTCTGGGATTTTGTGCAGGAGCCCATCGTGCTTTAAAACGAAGGGAAACAATTGAAGCATTACAAATGGCCTCGAACCATTTAATGACTAAAGCTTTCATGTTCAAGAAATCAGTTACAGTGTTTACCTCAGCATTAACTATAGCACCTTGCATGTTGCTTCGGCCAGACATAAGGCATTTCAAATATGGCGTGTCGTGATGGTGTTGTAGTTTTATTAAATTGCTGTAGGTATATTTGCTGTATACTGATGTGTCTTTTTTTAAAAGCCACCTGGCATGGCCTTCACTCCTGTGATTCATTGCTACATGGCGGCACTGAGTCAGTGGGTCCCACACAGGAATTTTCTCACCGTCTGGCCTTGACGTTGAACCTTTTCCCATGAAAAATGAAAATGGATTGTAAACACCATCACACTATTAAGGAACATGCATGCTTTCACCTTGAATTGTACGAACTATAAATAAGAACTATAGACATCCAGACCCTAAAAAGTTACATCACTCCGCAAATGATCACAACCAAGAAGCAAGAACTAGGCAATATTTTAACTTTATGTATGTATGCAGTTGTGATAATTGTTGAAGAGTAACAAGTCTTCTTGTTCAGCTGTCATCATAAAATTTAGAGCATTGTTTTGACATTATTTGCTCATTTCATCAGTTCAGTTTTAATAAGTATGATTTGATGTAGGGGTAGTCCGCACCATCATCAGTACCAGCTGATAAAGGCTTTAAAATGGAATACTGGCGTCGGCCAAAACAATCACTGTCAGGTACATACGTTTGTAGTTTTTGTATTTAAAAAGCATTGTATTTTAATGTTTGCACCTGCCAGTGGACATCGCAACAACAGTAGGCTTAGTAATATGTAAATTCCTCTACAGGAGAGACTTGATGTTCTTTGCAATTAGGTAAAAAAAACAAAGCAAAAAAAAAAAAAGTGCGTATATTGGTATTGGCAATTAGGCAAAACAAATTAGAAAATATCAATACTGGCAAAACTCCAATATCATCCTCTCTGGTTTGAATCCCGAGTTGTTGTGTCTGTTATTGTCTCTAAGTGTTAAAAGCATTAGACAATAACGTCTTTCTGTGTGGTGTGATCAGGGCTAGATAGTTGGCTAAACCTGACAAGAGTCGATCCTGACGAAGAAGTCCAAGGAGAGATCCATCTGAGTCTGGCGCTGCTGAAAGATGCAGAGAAGCTCAGCCTACGTTGTCAAGTCATCGAAGCCAGGTAAAATGAAATCCTGCCACTTCAGAGAGAATTGTGTGCTCACTTAGAGACAGCAACGCGGGAATGATGGC